TGTTACCATAACTTTCCACGCTTCATCAAATTATCTAAAGTCAGAATCTTCTCTTTCCTGGCTTCCCAAGCAAAAAATAATAATTCTAAGAGGAGCGCCGGTTTTCCAGATAGATTTGAAGGGGAAAGGAGAATTGACATTGTTGCACCGGTTACTAGAGTTGGAGAGAATGTTGTAGAAAGACCGGATACTGAAAATGCCATTTTTTTGCCCCTTCCAGATCAAGGTATCAGTTCTGTTCAGAATAATAATACCAGCCATCAGGTTTAAAAACTGCCCATACTCATTCAATTCCTAATCATTTAAGTTTTGGGTAACCAACACGTTACACAAAGCAGAATTGTCAAAAGCGTCACAAACCATCAAATCTTTGTGTTGTGCAATAGAATAAATAGTCGGAAAAACAGATTTAAGGTTGTCATTACTGCACCAACGGTCATTCCAGAAATTCACCCACCCTGCACCCATTGCCAATTTTTCAGTAAGTATTTGACATCATCTTAGCGAACATGGATAAAATTCCCTTCCAAACACTAGTACCGTGAGATCTTTTTGGGAAGATAAAACTGCCATTACTGTCAAAGTTCGTCCACTTGAGGTTCACAATTCTTCTCCATAAACTGTTAACATCATTGAAATATCTCCAAATCCATTTTTTATGAAAAGTCTTGTTGATAGTAGTAATAGACCTTATATGCAGACCACCTATGGTTATCGGAAGCTTGACTTCATCCCAGTTGACCAAATGATATGTTCTTTTATTTTCAGAGATTCCCCAAAGAAACCTATTCTGAATGGTTTTTAATTGTTTAGCCATCCTACTCGAAACTTTGAGAACCGATAGATAATATAAAGGTAAATTAGAGAGGGTACTTTTTATGAGAGTTAATCTTCTACCTTTAGAAAGAAAATCTCTTTTTCATGTCGCAAGTCTTTTTTTAAAAAGATCAATAATTGGTTCCCATCCCTTGTAAACTTTTTTTTTTTTTTTAAGGCCAAGAGGAAAATCAAAGTATTTGATAGGGAGATGTTTTTTTGGCAGCCCAAAACAGTAGCCAATTGGTCCTCTTGATCCATATTTAGACCAATGCCCACCAACTTAGTCTTATTCATGTTTATTTTAAACCCAGAAACAGTCTGGAAATAAAGGAAAATGCATCTCAAGTGTAATAGATATTCGGTTTTAGGCTCACAGAAAATCAAAGAGTCATCAACAAAAAAGATATGTGATAATTCAATTTGCCTATTCTCCTTACCTAGGATGATGCCTTTAATCATATTCAAATCAGTGGCCCTTTGCAACAGCTTACTAAAAGCTTCCATAGCAAAAATGAAGAGTAAAGGGGAGAGCGGATCACCTTGGCGTAAACCTCTATAAGCAGAAAACAAAGAGGAGGGCCTGCCGTTAACCATCACCACAAAACTTGTAGAGGTAATGCAAGCTTTTATCCATTTTCTCCATTTGATACCAAAACCACACCGGAGAAGCATATAATCAATGAAATCTTAGTTGAGGTGATAAAAAGTTTTTTCCATGTCAAGTTTAACGAGAACCCCTTTCTTTTTGTTAGCAATCAGCTCATCAACAAGTTCATTAGCAATCATGAATGCATCAAAAATTTGTTTACCTTTTACAAAGGCATGTTGACTCTCCCTAATAATCAAATGAAGTACTTGAGATAGTCTTTTAGATAGAACTTTGGAAATCAACTTATAGAGGCTGCTAATTAAACTAACAGGCCGGAAATCTTTGAAGTAGTTAGCCCCTTCCTTTTTGGGGATGAGAACAATAAAAAATGGAATTGAAAAATTTTACAAATTCACCATCCCTATGGAACTATTTGAAAACATTAAGAACATCCTCCTTCAAAAGATACCAGAAAGTTTGCATTTATTTAAGGTCGAAACCATCAGGGCCTGGGGACATATCGCCATCACAGCTCTTAAGGGCAGCAACAATTTCATTTTCAGTAAAATCAGTCTCAAGCATCTCTCTGTTAATGCAGTCAAGAGTGTCCAATTGCAAATTATCCAGCAAAGGCCATAGCATGAACTCCTTAGTGTACAAGTTTTGGAAATGCTTTTCGGTTGCTCCTCTAAGGTCTATGTTACCCGAGATCGTCTTCCCCTTAATGCTTAACTCCTCAATATAATTATTTCTCCTCCTGTGATTCACAAGACATTGAAAATATTTGGTGTTTCTGTTACAATTTTTAAACCATTTTTCTCTTGAGGAAATTGCTTCTCTATTCAGTTTTTCAGCCACCTCTTTTTTCAATTGGTCTTTTTTGCAAAACTCATTAGAATTGAGACCGACATCCCCTTCTTTACATTCAATTTTGTTGAGCTCATTCAAAATTTCATTGATTTCAAACTCCTCATTAAGACCAACCTCTTTGGACCAGTGTTTAATCTCATTTTTCAGATTCTTGAATTTGAAAGAAATTTTAAAACTTGCTGTACCTCAGTGGAAGAATTGTTCCAGACATTCTCAACCAACTCTTTAAAGCTATCCAAAGCGAACCATTTGTTTTCAATTCTGAAAGAACAGGACCCCACTGAATCCCATTTTCAGACAAGGAGATCGGATAGTGATCAGACAAGGCCTAGACAATTTAAGCAGAAGAGAAGGATCAACAAGAAATCTGTCAATTCTGGATAAACTTGGGAAAATTCTGTGATTGCTCCAAGTCTAGGAACCATCAGTCAACAGGATATTAGAAAGTTTTAGTGCCTCAATGTTATCTTTAAACTCCTTAGCAGTAGACACTGAAATGCTCCCCAGAGCGTTCATAACTGTTGAGGATCATGTTGAAATCACCCCCAACAACACCCACTGAACCCCACCTACATTGACAATCGGAGAGTTCTTTCCAGAGAGTGACTCTTTCATCCTTCTTACCCCTGCAATAAACCCCAGTAAAGTACCACTCTAAACCCTGTTGACCCGAAGCAATAGAGCAGAAACAGTGATATTGCCAATGAAAGAACTTTTACAGACCACAGCATCTTTATTCCACAAGAGTAGAATGCGACCGGCTAACCCCCTGGCCGGTCGATGCAGTCAACCAACGTCGCTGATGCATCAAAAGCTTTTAATGAAACAAATATCTATCACTTCCATCTTAGTTTCTTGTAGGCAGATTATGGCCGGATTCCAACGGGTAAGACAACCCATGATGACATTCCTCTTTTTTTTTATTGTTCAGCCCTGCACATTCCATGAAATGATCTTCTCTATCATTGGATTCAGTAGTAACTTCCCCCAACTCCAGCTTCTTCTTGCGTTTGCCATCATAATTTATAGAAGAATGAAGGCGCTTTAGCTCCCTTATCCATGCCTTTTTTTTTTTCGGTGTTCTGGCTGAAACATTTTTATTCATATTCTCACTCATTCTTTTTTCCATCTCTGAAAACAAAAAGTATGCATGCTGTTTCAGCCCCTTCAGTGAAATACCTAATTCAGCACTTATCTATTGGATATTCCGAATAATCCATGAAGAATAAAGTTGTTTTAGAGAGGAGTCGGATGGCTCAAGTCTTCAATTGAGAGTTTTGTACCTGCTTCAGGAACATTCATAATTTCCATACCAAAGTTAGGAATTGACATACCTTGCACCCTCTCACGATGGGCTTCATCCGCGATCACCATGGCAAGCGGAAAGCCTTCGTCTTCTTTGAGCTCGTTATTGTTGGGATTGGGATATTCTGGAGAATCATTTTGGCAAGAGGTGCCACCTCCATATTCGCTGTGCTCTCTGTCCGAGCCCTTAACCAAAAAAATGACCAAATTTTCTCCCTTTTTAGTTTCAGTTTCGTCTTTATATGTAGTGGATGGACCCGACCCCGAATCCACACCTGCAACAACACCGGGTCCACTGAGCTTGATTGGAGAAATTATCTTCTTGGGCCTCCAAAACCGTTTAACTTTTGGACTTCTCTTCTTTTTGATGATTTTACTTGGCCCATGATCAATCCACTTCCCTTTCTCCTCTTTGATGTATTTGAGCTTCCGAGCTGATTCTTGAGGTGGGCCATCTGCAGTAACGTTTGTGCATTTTGAAATTCAAAATTCGCTTTTCGGTTCAAGACCGGGTCGGGTTGTGTCTTCACCACTCGTTTGCGTTTGCTTTTCTTTGACTGAAGCACCTTTGCAAAGGATTTCTTCTTGCCAGATTTCATTTTGATGGTAAAGTCAAACTTGCATTGTGGGCAGCCGAGAGCTGCTGACCAAGTCGGGGCAAATTCTAGTACTGGGGGAACAGAGGCCTGGAAGATAGAGCCTCTTTTATCGGGATGAGCAAGGGGAGTCTCAGGAAGCTCAAAAACGGACTTCATAAACCTCCACCATCCTTCCGCTTGGAAACCTTCTGGAATGAACATCCGTTTGTTGGCCCTATCCTTCTGTTCCGATAACACCAGCACTCTGCCATTCCAGTTCGACACAGGGCCAAAAAAATTGTGCAGTTATAACCCGCAATCTATTTTCCCCAAGTAACACCTCCTTTGTACTAGTAGAAATCGCTGAGTGCATCGATGAGCCATTTTACCTCTGACTTATTCAAAGTAATCGTAACCTTGATCCCTCTGCCGTTCTCACACAGGTATAATCCATCATGATGTTTTCCATTCCAAATCACGTCAAAAGACTTTCTGTCGATGAGGAAATTTTTTCTGTTCGGGTCTGATAACATCGAAACGGAAAACAGTTTTTGCTCGGCCGAAATGTGGTTTTGCTCTTGAGACCCTTGGAGTGTTTACTGAAGGTCGGGTTTAGAAGGGAAAAGGCAATTGGACTGCGGTTAGGGATTCAAGTCGGGGGAGGAAGAGGGAGAGAAGAGAGAACTAGAAGAGATTCTCCCTTGATGTTATTGCAATCACAAAATCTTGACTGGAGAAGTACTTAAACAAGAAGCCATTTTGAACTCTTAAGTGCTCCGTAAGTAATTTTGCAGATCTAAAATCATCTATATTAATCATGGGCCCAGCAAATGGGGTATAGTAAGCTCCGTAAGTATATACATATTTTTAAATAAAAAGTGTAAGGTGCATATTAACATAGTACCAAACGGGGGTATTGCCCATGTGTAGTTTTACGATGTGATTAGAGAGTTAATGACATTCCCAAAATACTTATCATTAACAAAATCATGACCTAACAAATTAATTCCAAAATAATGAAACCATTTATCTCTTAATTTATACAAGTCCAGGTTTATGCTTTCAAAGGTTTTAGCATTCCTCTCTTTCCAAATAACCCAAAAGATGGTCAAAGGAATTAAATTTGCTACTTTTCTGTTGACACCTATCATTTCTCAAGCCCATAACTCCCCACGAACAGTCCTAGAAATTACCCAATTAATTTCCGAAAGTCCATAGATCATGCTCCAAAGTTTGTATGTCACTGGGCACCAAAGAAGTAAGTTGTTATAAGACTCTTCCGCTCTCAAATAGAGGTAACAACAATTTACTATGATTTGACCCTTTTTCCTGAGCTTATCAATGGTGAGTATACTTTCTCTGCAGGCTTCCCACACAAAAAAAATAATTCTCGGGGTCACCCTTGCATTCCAGATCTGTTTAGCCGGGAAGTTATGTAAAACCTCCTCATTGTCACCCACCAGCTGTCTGTAATACGAACTCACAGAAAAATTGTCACTATTTTCCAGCTTCCACACCACCTTATCCTCACAATTTTTTATTTCCTGGGCCTCCAAAAGTGCTAATAATTCAACATACTCATTTATTTCCCAATCATTTAGGTTTCTTGAAACATTAACCAGTCATTCAATATTGTTATTGCTCCTTCAATAAGCTTATACCAGCATCTGTTTTGATTGGGCAATCTCATAAATCCTTCGGAATTTCACCATAAGAGAATCAGTCCCAATCCAAACATAAAGCCAAAAGCAGATTTTGCAACCATTACCAAGTTGCCATTTTATACATTGCCTGAATTTTGGCTACTGCAGCAGGATTTCTTCCAAAGACCTCTGCTGTGCGGTCTGCTGGTGTGAGTTCTGCTTCTGCCAGAAGGCAAATCTGCAGTAGATAATTCTCCCCATCTTGCAACAACTATGCTCTTCCATAATCGATTACCATCCACCAAAAATTTCCAGAATCATTTCCCTTGTAGGGCGATATTCATGCTAACAATAGATCTTAAGCCCAGACCACCATTTCCCTTTGCCAATGTATATTATCCTACATTTTATTTAATCTTTAAATTCAATTTATCTTGGCTCTTAAGAAACATAATGAATTTATGCATTTAATGTTTTGATGCTTTGTGGTCAAAAGTTTCTTGTGAAACTATGGATTCATCTAAAATTATGCACTGATGATTTGTAGAAAATGTCTATTGATGTAGAGCCACTTTAAGCTTCCATATGTTTTAGAATTCTATCATAATTTGATCTTAGTTGAAATATATGTTCGGCAGGTTTTTGCTTTTGTTGCTCCTAAAATCATTGGGGGAAAGAATGCACCATCTCCTGTGGGTGAACTTGGGATGGTTGAGATGACACAAGCCCTAGATTTAATTGATGTTTGCTATGAACAGGTAGGTCATAATTCTTCAACTTATCCTTTTTGGTGGATTTTTTTTCTTGGTCATAGCTTTACAGGATTCTTCATGGGTGGGTGAAACACTATGTTTTCTGGGGGGGTTCATTTTGAACCTTATTTGAACTAGAAATGTTGGAAATATTACATACTAAGCTTGTTATCATCAGTATGTTTATGTATATGCATGCTATGCGCTTGAGCATCTATAATGTGGAAGCAACAAATGACGTGCCTCTGGATTCTAATGGTGCTGCTATGTGCAAAGTATTTTGTTGTTGCGATGCGGGTTTCATATTATAATGTCACTAAAGTTTTTTTGAGTGAATGAGAAATTTATCGACATGGTGCCAAGGGGGTGCCACCCAAACAAAGAATTACATAGAAGAGGTTGACAAAATATCTATAAGATCACATCAAAATGACCCTTGAACAGAATACAAAAGAGTGATTTTTGAGACAAAATACACAAGATATGGAACCAAAAATCTTGTAAGGAGAGTAGATGCCCTCAAAAGCTCTTTTACCGAGAAGATAGGTGATCTCCTAAAGATTACCCTAGTATGCACACTTGAAACCTTGAATTAGGTGTGCAAATCTTGCCTTCCAAATCAAATGATTAAAAGCTTCCATTGCCAAAATAAGAGGAGAACGAGTATGAAGGGTCACCAATGATCAAAACTATTGAAGGGATTGTGAATTATTTTGTCTTTTCGGTTTGATGAGTCATTATCAGGATGTTTGGTGGATGGCAGATCGCTTAAAATGATCTTCAGGTGTGAAAGCAATATCCATGGTTACTAAAGTGAATGCTTGAAAGTGTTTGACTATGTTATATGGACTTATCGATTGACTTATGTTAAAGAGAGTGTTATCTGGACTTACCGGTTCAGTCAGTTATGATTTTTCAATCAGGTTTTTGAAGCTTTTTAATTGAACTGATCGAACCCGACTGAATGTTCTCCCTTAATTTTTTGCCTAATCTTGTCCTAAATTTGTTGTTTATAATATATTGCAGAAGAAACAAAGACAGTAAGCACAATTTTAAAAAGTTAAATACTTTCTTATGCAAGGATATACTAGCTACTTCCACTTGCCCTCATTGGAATCCTATTACAATCTTGCAAACACCTCTATTTCGTTTGAGAATAGGAATTTGGTAGATACCATAAAGCTTGTTGCTAGTAGCAAAAGATCTATCAAACACCTATTGGATTCCCATCCTCGTCGACGAAGAATCACAAATAGATCCCCAGGAACATCTTACCAATCTCTTATTTTGAGGTAGGTCATTGGAGCCAAAATGAGTGAAAAATTGCAAATCCAACACTACCACAGTTGAGAGTCTACTTTAGTCCTTGTTCATTAAGGATCTATTCCTCCATCTCCGTGAGCAGTGATAGCTAACTCCAAACTTAATCCCGCACCACCATCCACCCTTGAAGAGGTAACCAAAGTATAAGGAAATATGATTCAAATTCCAAAATGTGACATCCACACTAATAAATAATTTCGTAGTGGGTGGATGCTAAAATTCGCAAGTCTTTTAGTTGTTGTAGAGTGCCAAATGAAAATGATTTGAGAGCCCAATATTCTGATTTCCCCTCTTCTCTTATGACCAAAACTGACACCCCTGAGTTTCTAAGGGGAACAATGTAGGAATTGGTCCTTGCTGAATTTCCAAGGGACTTTCAAAACCCTGATGTTTGTAAAGGCATTTAATTGCTTATTATAGCTGATCTTATCGACTCCTTGACTTTGAGAGATATGGAATCCTCTATATTTTGCACATGGTGGCCCCCTTAATACCTGTTTTGTGTGTGTGCATGTTTTCTTTTTTTTTTTTGTTTTCTTTAAAGAAAGTCATTTGTAATTTGTTTTGTTTCTGTACTAGATATTTACATTTGGTCGCCATTTACTGCAATTGATGTTTGTTATTTTTTGTTGTATGGTAAGATTGCTTTTTGAAAGCAACAGATAATCTATTGAGCTGAATAGAGCTCGTCTCTGTTAATTTAGGCAGATTTTGTATTCTAATATTTTTTAAAATGATGATGTTTACCTCTTGATTGGCATTTCACTTCATGTTGAGGTATAGGTTGGACCTGATATGCTTATCAGCGGATTTCTTCAGCCCATACCAGACCTTCTACCTGTTATCCCTTCAGTGGATGAAACTTTTGCTATTGATCCTACTGTTACTCCTTATGAATCTACCATCATATTCTTCTACAAAACATGGGATCCTTATGGTGCTTTCTCAAATTTTTCTCCTCACGCAATTCAAATGCCTGATGACAATGGTGACTATGTGACTTGGTCAAGTGTAGAGCATTATTACCAGGTAAATAACATCTTTGATCTAACTTCTGTTTTCTAACTTTATATTTTGATGCCATAAAACTCTTGATATTTCAGGCACACAAGTTCATTGGAGTTGATGATCCTCTAGCCCAAGATTGTGTGGAAAAAATAAAATTAGTTAGAAGTCCAGAGGAAGCAGCAAGGATAGGAAGATTGCTGCAAAGAAAATTTCCTGATCTGGTTAGATAATCTGATAATTTTGATGGGGTTATAAATTGGTCTCATTTCCATTTTCTTTACCTATTTTTATGAAGCATTAGATTGGTCCTTCCTTGTAATGCAGAATGGAGTATCATGCTTGTGAGAATCTTATCAAAGAAAAATGCGATGCAAATGGAGTAGCTGTAGATTATCTGAATAAATTAAAAATTATAATTCTATTAGATGTAAAACTATTATACTCTCTAGAAGTCTATTATTATATTTTTAATAACTTTAGGATTTTCTTATTAGTATTTTAGTTTTCCTACTTATATTAATAGTATCTTATATTTTTATTGGAGTAGTATTCCTAATCTTATTAATATTTTTTAGTTTAATTCTACTTAGTAAGGTTACTTAGCGAACATTATATTTGACTTCTTGAGATCATTCAATAATTTTAAAAAAAGTACTTTATAAGTTTCTCAATTTTCTAATCGTGTGATACCCTTAAGTGTTATATTTAGACTTATCGTATATGATCTTTAAGAAACTCTCAGTGTAGTGTCTATACTTTTATCCCGAATTCCTAAGTGGACAAATCAACCTTATTTGTCCTGTATTAGTTTGGTACTAGAGATAAAAGACTTCTATATCCAAATTTTCCGAACTCTGCATCCAGAGAACTCTAAATTCATTAAAAAAAGCATACACATAAAATCCTAAAATCACTGTTGGTTCACCCTCTCCCTGCTGTCAGGCGATGATCATTACAGCTGCTGCCACTGGTCCTAGAAGAGGCCGATCGATGATTCATAGAAAACCCATCACGAAACTCCATAAGAAAATGTGTCACTTACTGCTGCAAGATCTTCTGGCCACTGCATGCTGCGATTCTGTACTTCTGCGAGCAGTGTCTCACACTGACCTACAATTTGCAACCTGCTGCCTCCGGTCGAGTATACTAACCAAAGATCATTGTGTTAGGTCCTAGGTTTAACATGTGATTTATCGGATCCAGAACTTAGAAAAAATATTGAAGTTTAAATAATTTTGGATATTTGGAGAAATTTAAAATATTGGAAGCAGAATTAGAATTTAAAGAAATGGTGAGGGCAGAAAAGGAATTTAGAAGAAAAGAGAAGATTCTAGAAAGAAAGAAGAGCAGAAGTTGGGGTGAGAGAAGAAGAGAGTTAGTGAGAGAGAGAGGAAGAAATAGAGAGAAAAAGAGAGAACGCTTTAGAGAGAGACTGTTAGAGAGAGAAGGGGAGAGAAATATAAGGGGAGAGATAAGAGATAGCAAAGAGAAGAGGGAAGAGAGAGATAGAAAGTTAGATAGAGAATAATAAACTGAGATTTTATTTCATAAAATTATATGTCTTGGGTTTAATTTATAACTAATGTTTATAAACATGAAAGGATACATGAGAACTCCTATTAGCAATTTCTACTGTTTGGGTGTATAAGAATCCTTATCAATCATAGCAACTGTTCATGATTTTTTAGGCTCAACAATTCCCTCCCCTTGGACATTAACCTTGTTCCCAAGGTTGAGATTCAGCTTCCAACTTTGATTTCCAAGGATATTACTACTCTTTAATATAATTTTATATATTATTATATATGTAAATATATATATTTCATTCACTATGCTACCGAAGAACTCCATGTGGATCTTTTGCATCTTTTCTTCTTCTCTCGCTTTTTGTTTTGTTTCTCTTCCCCCTTTTTCTTTCTCTGTTTCTCTCTGTTTTTTCTCTTCCACTTCCTCTTCTTCTGCTTCTTCCGTTTCGTTTTCATCAGCAAGAGACCAAGAGAGAACAAACGAATATGAATGACAGAGAGATTGAGTGGTTCGGTTCGGTCAATTGGGGTTTAACCAGTTTGGTTCAATGAACCAATTCAGTATGAACCGGGTTTGGTCTGACCCCATATTGTCTTTGAATCAGTCCGGATGGAACTGGACGACTTTAAGGTTTCTTCAACCAGTTCAGTCATTGAACTGGTTTTAGGATTTTTCTCTTTAAAAACTAATTCACCCCTTTTTTTCATCTTTTTCGTTGTGCTGCAGAGGAAAAAAAAGAGTCTCACTCTGCACTTCGCACACGACTGCAACAACAGCTGTTGGTTTTGCGTCCTCCGGAGAGGTAACATTGCTGCCCAACAATTGGATCATCAGATTGAGTTTTTGCTCTATCCGGTCAAAGAGTTTCGTTGTGCCAGTCATTATCACATCCCATTGGGATTTGGTACACAGTTCTGATACTAAGATTTTAGGATATGGTTTTAATATGTAATTTACCGGACCTAGAATTTGAAAAAAAATATTAAAGTTTTAAATAATTTTGGGTATTTGGAGAAATTTAAAAGATTGGGGAAAGAATTAGAATTTAAAAAAGTAGTGAGGGCAAAAAAGGAAATTAGGATAAAAGAGAGTTCTGGAAAGAGAGAAAAGAGGTAGCTGGGGAGAGAGAAGACGAAAGTTAGTGAGAGAGAGGAGGTTTTAGAGAGAGGAAGAAATAAAGAGAAAAAGAGAGAATGTTTTAGAGAGAGAAGGGGAGAGAAATATAGGGGGAGAGATAAGAGATAACAAAGAGAAGAGAGAAAAGAGAAAAAATTAGAGAGAGAATAATAAACTGAAATATTATTCCATAAAATTACATATCTTAGGTTTGATTTACAACTAATATTTATACACATGAAAGAATACTTAAGAACTTTTATTAACCATTGTAACTGTTCGGGTATATAAGGATCCTTATCAACTATTGAACTGTTCATGATTTTCTAAGATCTCAATACATTGCTGTCTGCTAACCAGAAGCCGGCGCGTGACCCATATGTGTGCCCAACCATGAGAGAGCTCACTAAATTTGCTCTGTTTGGCTTCTTTGAAATCCGAGTTTGATGAGATCAACTCCTTTGATTGGTTCCCGCCTCATATAGACCAGTCTAATGCTAGTTCAAGAGAAATAGCATCAACAATGGTAATTAACATTGAATTAAAAGTTAGGCAAGATGCATAGGAGACCGAAATAAATATAAGATTCAAGACAACAAAAAACATAGTCAATGCAATTTCAAAGCAACCGAGACACTTGTGGCCTGCAAAAGTACTATCAATTTAAAATCTGTAAGCTGTACTAGATATCAGCAAGATGGTAAAGGTTGAAGTTTTTGATTTTGATGGAAGATAAGATCTCGATATCTTCATCAACTGACTTAGTTCAATGGAATAATATTTCAACTGGTATGACATGTCAAGTTCAAGAAGAATTCGATTTGTTCAGATGAAGTTGGTTGGACGCACAAAAATATGGTGGTGTAGCATTGAGGAGAATATAACAAGAAAGAGACAACTAAAAATTGAAACATGGAAAAAGATGGAAGCCAAGTGAAAAATGATATAGGATACAATAGGGTTTATTTGTTCAATTATTGATTCATGGATAAAGAAAACTTAGATATTACAATTAAGGTTTCTTAGACATCACGCTTAAGAAGTCTTAAACACAACACTTAAGGATTTGATTGCATAAATAAGTGAATTAACTATTTTGAGTCTATTTTGGAAATGTTATAAATATACTAATATTATTGTAAATCTTTTGTACATGGGCGGTACCTCCGATTTTGGTACCTTATTAATATATAATTCATACTTTTTATCTAAAAAAAAGGTTTGATTGCATCATACAATCAGAAAACTGAGAAATATTATTAAATAGTTGAATGATCAATAAGTAAAGTTATAAAGCTAGTTATAATAACCTTTAAATGATTTTTCCATCTAGAATTGAATTAGGAAGTAGTAAACTAGTAGAATTAGGAATACTATTCCTAATAAGAATAAAAAACTAATACTAATAGTATTAGGAATGCTAATTCTAGTACTTCTTTTTGAGATAAAAATACTAATTCTAATACTAATAGGGAAATACTAGTAAGGATAGAAATCCTAAATTATGAAAACTATAATAATACTCCTAAATAATATAGATTTTTAAATAGTATAGTAGCTTTACATTTAAAAGAATTATAACTTTGTAACTAACTTTATACTTCAATGCAGAGCGATATGTCAATAATTGAGCACGCACAGAAGTTTAAACAATTAAAAATTCGGAGTCACTAGAATATGATAGGCAAACACATCTGATTCAAGACAGGGTTAAGACTTGATATAAAAAAAGAGTTATTTGACAGTCTCCTGCAACCTCGACACAAACTTACCAAACTCACCTTAGTGTAGAATAATATTTGAAATATCCAACTCCAAGAAACATTTTGTTTTCATCATACAATGCACTCTCAAGAATACCTTTGAATCAAAAGGTGAACTGAAGAATGTATCAAAATCCATTTCTAAAATTTTTCTAAACTTAAGGAAATTGCCCGTTTTAGATGTTGATAAAGTAAATATATGAGTTACACATACCCAAAAAGGAATAACTTGTGGGAATAACACAAAACGAGGAGATGCAAGGAAGAGATGATGATTATCTATCCTTTGAAGATAAATTCCAGAACGTTCAAGATTTATTTTATAGATATCCACTTTTAGAAACATATTATTGTTTCAGGAAGAGGTGAAAACCGGTTAGCACGGATGGGCTGGGTATCAAGTCTCTTGTTGAGATGAATATGGCTCTTCAAGGGAATGGTTGTGGCATTTTCTCACTGAAGAGGATGGGCTGTGGAGAAAAATAATTGTTGCTAGATGGGGGGATGCAAATGGTGAGCTCATTTTTAGTAAACCACTTCGTCCTCACGGTTATGGATTATGGAGAAAAATTATGATTGGTTGGGCCAGATTTAAGGATTGTATTCAGTAGCGTGTTGGCAAAGGTGGCCGAATTAAATTTTGGGAGGATGTGTGGGTGGAGAATACCAGCATTATGAGCAGCTTTCCTAATATCTATGCGATTGCCCATCCAAAAAATATCAAGCTAGAAGAGGCCTATAAGATTATTAATGGCAATGTTACTTGGATGGTCAACGTCAGCAGAAATTTAAATGATTGGGAGGTGAATGAATAT